ATACTGCGACCGCTGCTGCAACCCCTACCTCAACAGTCCTTGCAATTGTTCCTCCAACAACCAATGCTACAGCTGCAGCTCCATACTGCGACCGCATGAGCCACATGGCCCCTCCAAGTCTATGAACAGTTGGATGTCCGGGATCCCGGACAATTGGGATCTCTGTTGTCCAGCCTAAATATCCGGCAAAGTGTTCGGGTATCGGACACATGACTATATAGGCATACTGATGATAATGCTTCACACGATGGGCCAGTGTGGCTTCGCCCGCATGACAAAGTTGGTCAGCCCCATCACTAATTAATAACTATGACAACCAGAAGAAAAAAATGACTTGAAGGCACCTAGGATTCCACTAGCTCAGGCACACACAAAAAACCACTATTTTCTTAATCTCTTCGAGCGTCTATGCCTTGATGCACCCTCTACCACCTCATTCTCGCCGCTCTCCTCCCCTCCACTTTCTTTCTCTTTCTTATCAGCCTCTTCCTTGAACATAGGGACGGGTCGTCTGATAGCATTCAAGTCCTTTTCAGCCTTCAAAATTTCCATCACTAATTGAATGTCCTTATTTGTGGCAGTCACACGTCCACGGTGGGCTGCAGCAAGTCTGGTACATGAAAATACATGCACCAGCCAAGACTCAACAATCTCTTGGAGGGCTTTCACTGCGTTTGCCTCCAACCTATAAACATGAAAACCTTGTGAAGTGCTGAAATCCAACAAAATTTCTCTTATAAACCGGATGAAAGGCGTCAAAGGAATAATAGGATCAGTTGTTGACTGCATGAGCCGCATCTGATGTGCCACTTCGATTGCTGGAGATAAACGTCATAACTGCACTCCTTGCTCTGCTGATGCCTTCCTTCCCTTCCTTCTATCCACCTATTTTTTTGCCAATCTCTTAGTTTTTTACCTCCTTCGTCCTTATGAACCACAAATTTTGGCTGGTCTTCACGAACCTGCCTTTTCCTTTTCCCCTTCTCTTCCACTTCATCTCTCTCCTGTCTCTTTCCCGTGGATCTGAGATTTTCTTTCTTCCCTTTTTCTTTGGGTTGGAAACTCCTCTTTCCACGAGATTGTGTTCCATGCTCTTCCATCTATTTGATTTGTTTATTTCCCGCATCCCGTGATACAGATTCAATTTTCTTCCTTTTATTTTTGTCATTTTCATCTCCCTCTTTGCTTCGAACTCCATTCTTTGTTTTTCCATTTTCAGCTGCAGCATTGTTTTCATTGTCATCATCCTCAATGACTATACGTTTTCCCTTCTTACCTTCACGTGGTCGACACGACTCCACCTTTTTCTTTCCGACACTGATGTTTTTCTTCTTTCCACCTTTGTAACCTGCTTGTCCTTCATCTGCATCAAAAGGTATAGCACCTTCACTTTTTTTCAACGGTGATCCTGAACCTTTCTCTGCCTGGCGTTGAAACTTCTCATAGATTGCATCTTCCTTCGCACAGTAACGACAATCTTGCAACAATCTGTCTCTGTACGTCAGCATGAAAGGTACCCCCAATGGGTCTTTGAAAAGAACGTGGATGAGTGTACCATCTACAAACCTTTTTCGCAAATTGGAAAGACCATCACTCCACCGCACACTATCATCATTTTCATTCATTCCCTCTTCCCTGATGTATCACATGTCCTTATGAGGAAACAAATCGTACCCTGCAACAACCATTTGTAGATCCTCATCACGTATCTGCATCCTGCAATGTTGTGCATGTCGTTCAATACATTCCTTATCCTCCACATGCAAGTTCATCATCCAAACTTTTGCAAGAATGACAATGTACTGTCAGTGCTTCAGCAACCCTTCCTTCAAGAATCCCATTGAGAGCCAGTGAGTTTTGCCCTCTGACGTGGAATAACGTGCAGCCATCGTATCTCTTGTGTTGAACTTCGCAGGTTTGAGGATGTTATGAATCCAATTTGCATGATATCCGTACGCCTCCACACCCTTTGCCCCTACACACTATGACTCTGCTAACAGTGTGTCACTGACATCAAATTTTCCAACATTTTGAGGAAGGTGGACATGCGGGTCCCAAATGGGAGACAACTGCTCACTGCACCTCTCTTTGTGTCCTCGTTTGTCTGTATAGGAGACGTTGTGACTGACCAGTAACACTTCACCATCCTTCATCAAGAAAGAGATGGGATTGCTTCTTCTTGGATAACTTTCTCCCTCCTCTTCCTGGCGTGATTCTTGGTCCAACACTCTGAAACACATCATCCCATTTATGTATGTCGCAAGCCACAAGTTGTCAATCAAATCACGACGACGAGTAACAACCTTGCCTGTCGTCTGTGGTATGGTATGCGGCACCCACCCCTATCTAGGGTCTCTACGAGGGTCACTTCTGTCAACAAAGTCGCTTGAGCAAGCATCCTTTGGATCAATGATCCATTGGACTTGAGTACAAATATTATCGTAAAAAAAATCATTCAATCGCAACTCATTCTTGTTCTCTAGTTCCTCATATTGATGTAAGGAAAACAAGGTGACGAGCTCGTTAGAGACATCAGGGTTAAGCCTGAGAATTCGATCTCTTATGATCGCAAGCATCACTTGCCTCCATGCATTCACAGGTGGTGCTTCAACAGCAAGCCATTTCCCGTCGCATTTGAACGCAAGGCAATTCCGACCACACACTACGCCCCGCTGCACGACATTTGGTTTCCATACAACATCGTAATCGAAATACTCTTTTGCTCTAGTTCGATCAATATATTTTTTGTTAACCACACATTCAGAAACTCCTTCCTCTTCATTCGCACACTGTTCTCCATGTGCAGTTGTTGTTTGAGTATTGTCCCTGTTTTCAATGTTTTTCTCTACCCCGGATGAAGTTTTATCAACCACACTGTAACTCGCAGGTACTTCCAACTACGAGGCTTCCCCGCCTGTATCTACAGAATCTTTCGTCACCCAACCCAATACGAGTTCCTCCGTGTCTACATATGCGGTTTCACCATGTGTGATGCTCGGCCGCGAAGCAGTCATGCCTTCCAGGTCAGCCTCTCCTTGCTGTGTCGGCTGATCAACAACGTTTTTTATGTTCACAACCTCAACATCATGTTTTGCAATCTGCTCATCCCCCTTGCCTTCATCTTCATTGTCTCCCGCCGTCATGTCGACAACCATTTATTCAGTGTCAATACATGTCTTATCGTTCGTGCAACCTTTGTGTATACTTGTCGTCATCTATTTATCATTGAAAGGATAAAAAAAAAAAAGATATTTTACATGTGAAACTGTTAAACATATGATAGGAGATAAAAAAAATAAGCTAAAAAAATGAGAGAAATGAACAAGACGTATAAAAATCTACAAACACAGAGATTAACAAAACTTCTGAAGATATACAAACAAGGAGATGCAGAAGAGAGCAAGAATAAAGATAAGACGTTAAAACTAATAAAATATTCAGTCCTTTATTTAACTGAGTCTTTTATCAGACACTTACAAACAGTCTGACATCGTTTATACAAAATTTGCAAGCATTGTTGTGCACATGATATAAGTTGACAAGTAGGACATGAAACCACTTGTCCACTACATGCTCCTCTCTCTATAATAATTGTCATAAAATCTTTTGTAATAGAGATCAAGTGCGAAATCGAATCTATGAGGAGTCGTGCAAAAACTCTTTTGTTTGCAGTCTCTACATGTGCCTTAAACAAATCAGAAGACAAATGCACCTCCGAAGATGAGGAATCAGAAGACAAATGCACCTCCGAAGATGAGGATCCCAATGATGGTGCCATCATTGCGACCACACATGGAAATTTGTGACGCTCGTTAATGGATGTGAAACGTTGAAAATCCTCACATCTTAATACACAATGAGACACACTTTCACAACCCTCCTCTTTTTGCATGTCACTTACGACGGTTGCTGCTAATGCTTCCGTTCTGCTCCCCTCATTGCAATCTCCAGATAAACCTATCTTACGCCGTTCGCGCAAAATATAATCGCCAACCTCAATTTTCTCGCAAAACGAAGACAACGCGACAACGATGTCCGATGAACTATCCAAAAGTCTATCGATGTTCTGATGATTTGAATAACGTTGGCCTTCCCATCTACAACTATCGTGTTTGAATATGCCATTCTCTCTAATACATTCTCCACAGTGTACAATACAATCTTGAGCAAATTTGAGAAGGTCGACCAAGTTTCGTGCGTCGCTGCGGAGTTTATCGTCTTTAACTCATGGCTGTCGTACCTAGCCCAATCCTCGTGGAGTACACATTTGTTATTTTCCACGCATGAGCGAATATCATGATCAATTAAAGGTCGCTTACGACGACCAGCGCCTCTCCCCCGAACGCAAGTGTCAAGCATCGCTTCAACTCCAGCGAACGACTTGCAAACGTCAACAGTTTAACGGTCGCTAACTTCTTTCTTCAAAGCTGTTATTTCCAACATCAGAACTCGTTTCTCTTCTTCTGATACACTAAACGCTTTTTTTAAGCGGCTTGTACAGACTTTGGTGTCCACCAA